GGTTTAGGCCAATCGACCATAGCCTCAATCTTTCGCGGATCGACCTTCACACCATCATGAGATATGAAATGACCAAGATATTCAACCATCTCCTGCCCGAATGAACATTTATATGGTTTGATGTGGAATGAGTTGGCCTCCAAAATTCCGAGAACTATTCTTAGATGCCCAAGATGTTCGCCCCACGACTTCGAGTAGATCAGGATATCATCAAAGAATACCAAAACAAACTTACGCAGATATTCCTTGAAGATAGAATTCATGGCGAACTGGAAAGTGGATGGGGCGTTGCATAATCCGAATGGCATAACCAGATACTCATAGTGCCCCTGGTGTGTACGAAAAGCTGTCTTTGGAATGTCGGCCTTGTGGAGTCGAATATGATGGTAACCAGCTCTCAGATCGAGCTTAGAGAAATAACGTGACCCAGCTAACTCATCAAGCATGTCATCAACACTTGGAATAGGAAACCGATCCTTGATGGTTGCAGCGTTTAGGGCTCGGTAGTCAGTACAGAACCTCCATGTGCCGTCTTTCTTTTTAGCTAACAGTACAGGAGAAGAAAACGGACTTTTGCTGTGCTGGATTAGTCCTGACTCTAGCATCTCCGCAACTTGCCGTTCGATATCGATTTTCTGAAAGTGTGCGTACCTATAAGGGTGGACATGTATGGCATGCTGTTCATTGACCAATGGTATGCGATGATCGAACTCCCGGTGCGGTGGTAGCCCTTTAGGCTCGCCCAGTACCCCTTCAAACTCCTCGAGAAGCTCGCATACCTCTCCTTGCTGTTGTTCGTCACGATCCAGGTGCCCTCCCATGTTCTCGACTACTACTGCAAAAATTTGGCCTCCACCACGCCAAACTCTTTCGATGCTCTTCAACCCTACTTCCTTAGTTCCTTTCTCAGTGCCGGTGCTGAGGGTGACCTGACGACCTTCGGAGTTGAACTCCATAATTCCTGTTCGATAGTCGGTCGTCACCTTGCCTAGTCCTTCGA